GAACAGAAACAGACAGGTATTGAAAAGATATCTCAAGTAGAAACAAATGTGTATTTCTTCAGTGAGATATTTATTTCTAAAGTAAAAAAAAATATAAAGACATTCAGGACTTGAGGTTAAAGATACCACCAAGAGATCACTTGCAGACTAACCTTACTGGCTTTCTCATTCTTTTCTTTGAGACATTCATTCTCGGTCTGAAGCTGTTTTGTGTCCAACATGGGAAGGCGAATACCATCTTCCAGGCATTTTTCTACTTTCTGCTGTAAACTGCCATTCAACATGAAAGAAAAATTAAATGTGTTGACAAAAACCAGAAGAGCTGTGCACTCTAGTGAAATATTAGAAAGCTGTACCATCTTCCAACAAGAACTGTAAAACCATCCCTAGCGGAATCCAGCCTCAGGAACGAACAAACCAACAGCAGATGAATGATGCAAAAATCCTAAACTACCGAAACTAGCACAGATTCATGTAGAAATGGGTTTATTGGCCAGATTCTGTGCTGCATGTCCCAAAAGGCACAGCTCCAGCAGTACAGTGTAGGGAGTGAGGGCAGAGAGGAGCAAAGGAAAGCTTTGTGGTGTTCACAGCTGCGCTGTGCTGCTGTGGGTGGCAAAGCAGCACCAGCACGGACCAGAGGTGTCTTTGGACCTCTCACAGTCCAGAATCAGGGGCTGCATCGAGTACTGGTGGCCTATCCTTCATGTCCTCTGTGACTTTTAAAGGAGAGGATAAAGCCACTCCTGCCAGCTACTCCCACATGAGGGCATGACCTTCAGACCCTATGTAGCTCAGCTCAGGCCCTTAGGTATAGCTAGGGCCTTTGCCCACTCATCTTCTCTCAGAAAGGAAATACATTTTATTAGTGCTAATCTTGCTGTCTAATTTAGAAACCAGAGGCCACCTCAACTATTTGTAGGCTTTCAGAAAAGACAAAATGATCCCCTTCTAAATTGTGAGGGCACGAAGGAAAAAGCCCTTTCATCGGTAAGATGGAAACAATGCATCAACAATTTGCCTGGCAAGGTGTCACAACCAGCTTGCCTTTCATCATGGAAACACTTTCAGGCTCCTGTGGCATGCACCTCTACCCAGTGGAGGGACGCTGAACTCTAGTAACAGCCACATAAATTATTCAAAGTGGTTCCCTCCCTGCTTCCCTCCCTCACCCTTTTTTAAAAATAAATGTTTAAGTAGCTTCCCTGATCTAAAATGTACCAGAGTAACAATGTCTCCATGTTTCATCTGGAATCTTCTCATGGACATCTGTCCATTCGTTTCTTCATAGTTATGCAAGTTTGATGACAGGAGATTAGCTACAGCTAAATTTCCCTGTAAATAACCGCACCCTCAGTGAAAAGGTAAGAAGCAGCTACAATTTATTTAAATCTTTGACCCTTCCCTGATATACCCTTCAGCCAAAACCCGGGGAGCTTTTCCACAGCTCGTGAGGGGATTAGTTATCACACAGGAGTGCTGACAGCTTCTACACAACGCCCCATTTGCTCCACACGTTTATTCTATGCTCTGTCTGGCAGCAGCCTACGATGCCAATGCCGTTGCAGCGGTGTCCCACATCTCTAAAGAAAGACCATGAAGAGTGTCCTAGGCAGACTCCTCTCTCTGGTATTACTTGCAACTTGACACAAATAAAAATCTTGTTGGATTTTCCATTACGCTACACTGTCATCCTGCACAGTAACGTATTCATGCCATGAAAAATCATTACCATTGTCATTGATTACGAGTGCAAATTACATTAGGTCTTGACATCAGGTGGGAAAGTACAGCCGTTTCAGGGCACAGCCCGAGCAGCTGTTCATACCTCTGTACTGTTGTGACCAGCTCTTTCTCCTTTTTCTTCTGACACACCAGTTGCAATTCTCTCTCTCTGCACTGCGATCGGGCCTCTCCCAGCTTCTTTTCTAACTCCGTCACAGTTTCTTGAAGTTGCTTGTTCTTCTCCTCTAGAATTTGCAGCTAACACAGGTTACATTAGTCAGACACGATGTCACATTAGCAGAAGGCCTTGTGGCAGGCCACAGCCTTGCAGTTACCTTCTCTATAACCTCAGGCCCATTTCACTTAGCTGAGTATAAGAATCCCTAATAGCTACACTGCTCTCTAAAATATTGAAACACTTCTCTTCCTAAATAGATGGGGAAAAAACATATGTTGAAACAGTAAAAGATTTGACATCAGATAAGGTCCCTTACTTGCATTTTTAAAATGTAAAGCAAACTCCTTTTACCTTACCTGTTTAGTCTGCCCTTCTATATCATCCAGCGTTGGTAGGTCAGCCAGGTATTTTTCTAAGGTTTCAATTCGTCTTTGTTTTTCTTTGTTTTGCTCAGACTCTTTCTGGCATTTCTTTTTCAGGCTATTAATATATCGGTCTCTAGTTTTAAGCTAGAAGAAAGTAAGAGTACATGTTTTATGATTACAGTGAAAAATAAACCTGCTTTGGAAGCAGAGGCTGATCACTCTTCCAAGAATTGTACTCTCAGCTGCATGAAAGGGTTGGTTACTACAGAAAACAATATGAAGGAATGATTAAACCCAGCAGATCCAAGACAGACCCACACGTGACCTCAAACCACAGTTGCTTCACTTCTGCCTGGAACTTTTCACCTGCCTTGCGAACTGAAAACATGAACACTTCAACAATTAAAATATTCTTAGTTTTTTTACCAATAGAGATGTTCATATGCAACAAATGACAAGGAAATATTTTAGTCCATCCTCGTCCTCTAGCCTGGAAAAACAACTTTAAACACAGGGACCAAGAACTTTACCCAACAAGAACTGGAGCCAACAACCTGACTTTGATGCAGTCTGACAATTACATCAGAGGGCATCAGAACGGAATAGTGGCTTGCTTAAACACCTTTTCTACAGACATCTCAACTGTCCATCAGCATGTCAAAGGTTTTTTATATTGTGTTATCTTTGCTCGCACTCATGGTACTTATTATTATTTATTACCTAGGTCAAAAAAGCGGGAAGGCAGCAGGAAAAAAGAGTATTTTCCAGTCATAATCCAATGTAATGAAAAACAGTATCTCTATTGCTTGAACTAAGGTTGTAGTAAGTCACAGATAATAACACTTGTCACTAGACTAAATGCTAAACGTACTTTTATTTCGGTGCCACAGACATTTATCTCACTGAGAAATAAAAGTGTGACACTGTCAATGTCAGAGCTCAGTAACAGAGCCTACGGAAAAGTTTAAGTCTATAATATCAGAAAGTTCTTCCAGAGAGAGCCTTCTATACGGGCCACAAAACTGAGGATGCCCAAAAGGCCAGAAATCTTTATACCTTTTATTTTATCAGGACCTCAGAACTGAACAAAGCTTTCAGGCTCCCTTGCTTGGTATGTCTGGACAGGGCAAAGACAGGTATGATGCCAGCAGTGACAAAGAGCACCTCTGATCTCTGCTGGCCCTGCAGCTTCTCAAAAGGGAAGTATTGGGTATATCTACCCTAATGTTAGAAGGGACACAATGCTTCAGACCAAGAGGCCTTCTACCCTGGTATCCCATCTCCACCAGCAGCCACAAGCAGATGTCTACAGTAGGAAAAGAACAAGGAAAACACATTTTCCCAGTCTCTAGCTGCTTTCACCTTAGGGGCACTCCTGAGGCAGTTATTATTTCTGTGCATTTAGAATAAGGCAGCACTTCCATCACTCACCCATTTTCCCCTTGAGACCACCTACATTCTTAACATCAACAACAGTTTCAGAGATACAATCTAGAGGTTTTCCATAGAGAACTGGCATGAGGAATTGGTTCCTTTTGCTGATCATGTACTTGGCTCCTAGAGCTTCACTAGATGTTCTCTCAGTCCTGCAACAAGAGCTGCAGTGAGGAGCTGATTGCCCTCTGTGCCCTTCAAGGCTCTGCAGACTCTATCACACACAGTCACTTCTTTCCAGCAAGAAGACCGTATCAGCCCTCCTGTGATTTTCTGATGAATACCTGCTTTGCTGCCCTTCCCTGAACCTTCTCCAGTTCCAACACATCCTGGGTTTGTGAGGAGGGAGACTTCCCTAGACTTCTAACCACTGACAAAAGACGGTCAAGGAAATGGGAGTGTTCCTTATGTTTTCTTTCCTTCCACCTATACTGAACAGTCACAGCTTGTCCCTTATTGTCAAAAACATAGCATCTGTAGACTGTATTTAAATGTTGTATGTTAAAAACTCCAATGCAGGAAAAGATATTATTTACAGAAGTGGGGCAAACAGAGAAGTAGAAACATTTCTAGAAGTAGAACAGTACCTTAACCTAAACTTCCATGTGTTCTTTTAGCATACACTTATAAGCAAAGCTCACCTGAAAGTTACTAGCATTTTCTCTACTCCCTGCCTAAATCTGGCTTTGGGTTGAAAAACCCTCTCTGAGAGGCAGACATTCACTCGGAAATAACCCCAGCACAGCTATTGGCAACAATCCCTCTGATCTGTACAGAAATTGTACTTTTGTCCCCGAACATCAGCACTGACCCAGGACACCAAGATTTTTAAGCACAGCAGAGGAACTCCAGAGATGGCTATCCCCAGGCTCAGCACCCAACCTACTGCACGGGTTCCCGGCCTGCCACACCCTCATGGGAACACAACACAACTCTTTCCTCACTCCAGAGTCTTCCCTCAAACAGAAGAGCACTAATTTTATTACAGAAACACATGCTCTCCCCCCTGCCCTTTCTCTCCTTGAGAGTCTTCTGTTCAGTGCAGGAGATGGAGGGGTGTTAAGGGTGAATCAGGACTGTGCAGTGAATCAGGCCCCTTGCCACAGCCCATCCTGCTGACACAACACTGCTGCACAGGTTCTCTCCACTGCCACCGCCTACAGCAGCGATTCCTGCCCACTGAGAAACACAAGCAGTAAAAGCTGAGACAGAAGGAAGGAGCAGCATCCAATTCCTGCCCTTCCCGAATGTCACCCTTAGTGAAAAGCATACGGCAGGATTCACAGGAAATGATTAGGCAGAATTTGAGATTAATTATGCTTTCTTCTTTGTCTTCCCACCTGCCACTTCGCTGTACCATACTGCTCCCACCCCTCGAGCCTGCATTAATACAAATCTAAGCCCAGTGATCAAAGAAGAAAAGGCAGTAGTGACAATATATCCCTAAACATTAATTAGGAACCACGTGGTCAATGGCACATTCCTGCTTGCAGTAAAGGAAGGCTGTCGGGACATTCAAAACTACCCGTGGGTATTGCTTCAGACTCCAAAGAAACTCCTCGTCAAGACAGTTCCAAGAACACAGCCACCAAAGTTTCTTCCTTGTCTCAGACCAAAGCCTACTCTGCACATCCTAGCAAGGCTACAAGAGAATCACTCCTGCCGAGCGGGCGCATCCAGGTTGGTAAGTACACCTCAAAGCACGAGGCCCACAATACAGGCCATGCTAAAAATAGGGATTTCATTTTCATACTTGCTATCTTTTTAAATGATACTTTATTTACTGTAATAAACACTTCAAGCTACATGAATTCTTAGAGCAGCTTTTCTTCAAAGCAAGTTTAACTGATACCTGGTTAAAACCTTCACCATGATTGCCATTTCATCTAGTATTGCTTTTTAGGATGTGTTCACTACAAGTTCAGATTTATCCATTGCCAACACTTACATTCACTAACAATTAATTTTTCTATCACAGATAGTTTAGCTACCTTTTGAAAATAGCTTAGCAACCCACATACTAAGTTGCTTTCTAACAAACAAAACATATGATGCTATAACAGTATCAAAAGGAAATTTGGAACATGAAAAAACACTTACTTTCTCCTCCATCTTCTTTTTCTCCTCACTAGATTTGTTTGAAATTTGTTTTACAAATTCACTGAGTTGTAATTCCTTATTCTCAGCTGCTGCAATCTTTCGCTCAAGCTCCTCAAGGTGGGATGCTGATCTTTCTGAAACGTGAGGTTGCAGTGATGTGCCCTCATACGGTGGTTGCTTACAAAAAGAAATAAAATAATCACACAAACGAACGTACACATACCACCCTATACTTCAGCAGCACAGCAGAAAACAAGTCCGGCATTTTTTTCCTCTGTCAGGAAGGGTGGGGTTTGATCGTTCAAACATTAGAATACAAAGCAACAGCATGTATTTCAGGAATCTGGAGGAAAAAAAACATAAAGCTGCTGGACACATTTACATTCACAAAATACATGCAAGGCCACTTTCCTCTCAGGTTTATGGAAGAGGTGCAACTTTTCTTCCAAAAGAAAACCCTGAAAATCCAAACAAAAAGTGTTGTCAAACCAAATCCCTGCCACTGCATTATCATACCATTCCCTAAGAAAAGCACTCTGTAAAATGGCTACAAATATATTAAAATAAGAGATGCTCCAATCTCAAGATCGTTCTAAACCAGAAAATTAGTATTAATCAAACCTTAGAGCTATCACACTTGCAGTGCAGAAGGGGGCGGGGACAAGCCTGAGACCAGGGCTATGATCAGAAGGCAGACCTTTCACTTTCTGTCCTCTCTACAAAAATCCTCCTCCATTTCCATTTCATGCAGTTTAATATTACTCTTCTACCTCCACTGCCCACAGACAAGCACAAAATGGAAATCAACTGCATGTGGGATAAAAAAGGAGATGCATCCCATAAGGCTTTCAGTTTCAAGATCCTCTTAATAACATAAATTGGTGTCTTTAAAAAAACTAAGCAGAGACTATTTTTAACTCGTGACATTCCTTCAGCAAAGCATTAAAAGAGATTAAAACCTCCATTAAAGGAGATTTGCATTCGTAAATTAATCTTATAGTAGGCACACAAACGAAGCATAAATCCTAATACATCATAAACTTTTTTAACTCTTCAAATTAAGAAAGATGAATGCATCTGCTGCTTTATTTGAAGCGTATTATGGCATACTAAGATACGTACAGTAAAATTTTAGTTTCTGCAGTATTATTTTTCCCCAAAATCTTAATCCAGACAGAATTTTGTAGTATTTTATAGAAGAACTTTGGGAAGCACCAAAAAGCCACATTCCTAGATGTCTGAAAAAGTTTCCGAATACCTAACTTCACAGTAAGGCTCTGCTTGAACTTCTCTCCTGTCTCTCACAAACCAGATTTTCACCTGATGCACAGTTGTGTTACCTCAAGGACATAATTGATGTCATGCTGAAGTACACTGGCTGAGATCCCGGTGCAGTGTTTGTGACAGAAAAAGATAAGGTAATAAAAGAGGGACAGAAAAGCTATTTCTCTGCATATCTGCCTTTAACATTCTCTTTCTGCATTGCCTTTTGGATATGCTGAGATCTGGAGATGGAACTTGGGTGCTGTGACAGGGCGGCAGCCACAGTCCTCAAACTGATCTGCATTTTGTGGTTCGCCTATACTACCTCATCCTTACATTCTCTGATATTGTGCTGGTTAGAGAACAACTAGGACAGGTATGCCCAAAGTACCACCACACATTCCCTTTCAGACTAAGTATTCCCTAGGAGTACTAATCCATATCCTTTTCAGGTGTCTTCTGCAAAGGTATTCCACCAGTCAGTTTGCCTTCTCATATCAATTCCTTCTATTCTATTGAAACAATCTAAGCCCTCCTTTGAGCATTACCTCCTTCTCCTCTTCAGAAAATCTTCCATCAGTTTTTTTCAGGTATTCTCTTAGCAAACCACTTCATCTCCTAGTATCTCCCTGTACAACTGCGCTATGTGCACGCTGTTAAACCCTTGTTCTTACAGTGCCACAATCCCTCATTCTTACCCCATTTTTATCAGATTTCAAAACAAGTATGTATAAAATGTTAACATAACTTAGACTTCTTTGAATGTAAGGTAAACTGCAACACTTACAGGGTACTCTCCTGTATGCAATTTACAGTTATACGATCACACAACCATCAATAATCACAAAAGCTCTACATTTTTGCCCGCAGTGAATTGTGAACATGCTTTCAGGCGTCAGTTACCAGGCAATGGAAAGCTTGGCTAAAAGAAAAACGTGCATCCTACCTGCAAGTTAGCCATGTAAGGTTCTTCGCAGTTCACAAGATGGCTCAGTCTTGCATGTTGAGCTCGTAATTCATTCTCCCTTATCTTCTGATGCAAACTGTTAATTTGCTGCTTTTGCCTGTCATACATGTATTTTATTTGGAGGAAAAAAAAAAAAAGGAATGGAACAGAGATTAAAACAAACCTAGATCTTAAGACTCATGCTGAAGAATACTGTAACAATGCTATTCAACTATCCTGGATCTACATTATCTGTGGGCTTTTCCCCACCACGGCCAGACTGCAATTAGTCTTATTTACTACTGGAACTGGAATCTCATCACGATATGAGCTATTAAACTATAGTTACCATGTAACTTTCACTTAAGCATATTCCAAAGGGTCTGTGCTCAATCGTCAATAACACACAAATCTTGTAGAAATATGACTTGAAAACTCTATAGATTTTGTGGGGGTTGAGCGAGGCTTCTGTTGTTACTTGCTCCTAGGGCCAGAAGCATAAGCAGGAAAAAGTAAATAGAAAGCAGAATGGAAACAAACAAAACTCGCACCTTCATTTTACTTGGGCGTCTGCTCGCCCCTCTCTCTTTGCCAGAGCTGACTTTTGACACAGGTTAAAAAGATTTACAAGTGGAGCAGAAAGAACTTCAGAAGAAGTCCTTATATAAGATAGTCAGCATGGCTTTCCTGCAAGGCCTTTCCTTTTACTTTGCTTAAGACTTCCTCGGTTAACTGCTTTACATAAGATGTTCCCTACCCCTAGGGTGAAATACCACAAGGCATACTAAACCAGAATTAACCTCTTACACCAATCGCTTGGCCAGCATACAGCAGAAACAGTATCACTATATAATTATATCACAAATTATATCACTATTTAAATCGTGACTGCATTTGAACTAGCATGACTGCAGGGCAAATACAAGCCAGGTCTCAACCTCAGCCCCCGTTACAGCCCCATGAGGTGTGCTGTGCTCTCTGTGAGGCAATGGGCACCTCAATAACCCACTCCAGAATGGAGTTGTCAGCACCCATCAGAAACACATGTAGCAATCTTCTCAATAAACTTAAAATAAATTTTGTGCGCTCCTTTAATTTCACTTTTCCACTTTTTTTTTATACGAGGAAATACCTGCACACAAGCATGAAATTGTTTCCCAAAGCTTCACTTCTAAGCATGCAGTGTGACTGGCTTTTCTGGAAACAACGATGCTGAACCGAGATGACTAAACTCAATCTTAACAGGAGATAAACAGCAAATGCAGGTTAACTTCATGGGAGAAGACCTGCCTGGGTACACACTGGAAAAGCAAATCTTCTAAAAGTACAGAAGAAGATCAAAGCTGGTTTGCTTCTTTTAAATTTAGGGAGAGTTGTATTTAGCAAGACCATCTCAGAAACGTATAAGTATACAAAATATTTATTATACAATCTATAAACTAACACAAAAGACATATTAAAAATGTTTACATTGAAAAGATGTCAACTGCAAATTTTAATAGGAAAAATAAGACGTGAAAACCCAATTAAAGGAAGTATTTTAGCTATGTACATTCTCCTAGCTAGTCATCAGCCAATCACATCCAAATTATTTGTTTTACAAGACGAATTTAATATTTCAAAAATAGTGACTATATTAGAAGTTTAAACTTTAGTTAAATGCATATAGCTTTAGTTAAAGCTATGGGGGTTTGAACTAGATGATCTTTAAAGTCCCTTCCAACCCAAATCATTCTATGATTTTGGAAGCTGATCTGAAGATTAGGTAAAAGAATATGCTCTTAACTTGTAACGGACCTTATAAGAACCCATATAATCATATAAGAAAATATAAAGCCTTGATGACTCCCGTGCGTGCTTGGTCACAAATACCAAAACTATTTAACTATGAGCTGTCTTAACCTATGAACAGAAGTAATTTTTCATTTTTTAATCACTTTATTGCTTACTAGTCAGATCTATTAAAATATCTTTGGCCCACATGTTTTAGAATTATTTATCCATTTGTCACTTATCCCTTGAAGACACTACATGATTTTCGGTTTGTGGCTGACTGTTTCTTAGTGGTGCCTTCCTTCACAGGCAGGATTTCAATAGGCTGAACTAAACACTACAGCCTGGAGTGGATATTTTAAAGTATTTTTTAACTTCCAGTGTTATTTGAACTACATTACCATATTTCCTTTCATAATCCTTTCCCTACCTTACCAAATCCCTGCAGGAAAAAAGGTGAGACAAATTAATCCGTGATGAAACAGAGCTGCGCTAGCAAAGAGTGTAACTCGCTCGCTGCTTTTCACTCTGCAAAGCATGAAACTCTCCCCCGTTATAAAACCTTGCCAACAAAACACCGTACAAATGTTTTCAGGCTGTGTAGATCATGCACAACCTCTTTGCATAACCGCCTCTCTGAAAATATCATTAACCTCATGGCACCCAGAAACAAAAATTCTGAAAACAGTCCAGCAGTCACAAGCAGAATAGAAGATAAGCACCATAGAAACATATTTACTATTTACATACAATCCTATAAGTCTTTGGAGACTTCATACCAGATGCATTTTATCACTGATGTTCTCATACGCTAAGGCAGTTTTAATCCTCTGTTAGCCCACAGCTGTTACTATTAATCCACTACATAACCACAGGCTGTGAGCTTTATTTAAAGGGAGTGTAGAAAAGTTCAAGTGGTCAACAAACAGAGCTCACATACTGCAGTGGGAACACTGTCCCCAGAAGCCTCCCTATTACTAATCAATCACCCTAACTCTTAAAAAAAAAAAAAAAAAAAAAAAAAGCCAAAACACAAAACCAAAAAGCCAAAAAGAACCCAACAACAGCAGTATTTAAATGCCGTCAGGAAAAAAAAAAATATTATGCCATAAAAGCAACCACTTTATTACTGATTTTCAATCTAAAAAAAAAAAAAAAAAAAAAAAGGCAAGCCAAAACACAAAACCAAAAAGCCAAAAAGAACCCAACAACAGCAAAAACCTTCAGCATTTAGGTGCTTTCAAAATTCTGTTTATATACATGGCAACTGCCACTCTGGGCAGGCCCAAACCAGATATAATTAATTCTGAAACTGAGGGATTTTACCTTAGGCAGCAATGCTACTCTCACCTTGTATGAGTTGATAACCTCATGCTCACCCTCCATGCTCACAGAGGGCCAGACTAGAGCAGGCTGAAATTCTGTAACTGTTGTGACTAAGGTTGGCAAACTCTCCTCCACTTTTCCCTTCCTCTGATCAGCTGCTAACACACTCAAGTGTCCTCAAGGGTCCAAGATGTTTTAAAAAAAGATTAAAATCACTTTTTAAATTTTTTTTCCAGATGCTAGAGTTATGCAGATGCACTGCATTACTCTGACCTACTCTTTATCCTGTAACATTCAACACAGGAATTTCCAGTCACTCAGTCTTACACAGGACTGAAATCTCCAGACATCGAGCTCCTCAATCTTTTGTGACTCCAGAAGCCACCACTTAAAAGTGGGCACAAGCTGTGGCCTGAGCTCAAGACATGGAGGAACCTGACAGGAGCCCACCCTTGAGACTTGCATTTACAGAAACCAGATCGCAGCTCACACAACGAGATTCAATGAAAACACTGTACCCAGGTGCCATGGAAACTACTCTCCTTCACAAATTCCCTGTTCTTTTATTCCATGAATGATTGTTACAAGTCTACATTGATGGCAAAGAGTTATTGGCATATTATGTGAACGTCACGGGACTTCTCACATGGTTTCATTCAGCTTCTTTGTTCAAAGAGGAGAAGATTCTCTGGTACACAGAAGACCATTGCAGTTACCCGCAGACGAGTTCTGCAATGAAGTCACTGAAGACACTGTCTTGTATTTTTCTTCAGATATGACGATTTTATGGCTTTTTTTCTTAGGAACAACCTGATTTTTATGTTATCATTATTTTTTTTTCTTTTAAAAATTTCACTGATATCCTGGACTATGCCTTTTCACCCCATTTCTTGAACCTCCAGTTGTAATTCATAAATATCCTGAGATCAAATCCTCCCTGTGTAGCTCCCAGGTACATTCTTTACAAGGGAACTCAGCTGAAGGGACAGGTTCACCAAGATAAGTGACTTCAAGTGGTAGCTACATGCTCTATGGTCCCCTATAACCAGCTCTTTTGTCCCAATCCCCATGTTAGTTATTTATGTGCTAGCTAGATTATTTACAGAAAGCCCTACTATTTTCAAAAAGTAATGATTTTGGCTTACTTTCAGGTCTTGTAAAATGCACACATCTTTTGTTGCTTTTTCCTCTATTTCCTTGAGCATTCTTTATTTTTGTAAACAAGATTTCAAGGCTGCAGTCATGTTTCACTACTGCAGATAAATGACACTTTGTAAGGAAGCAAAAGTCGAAAACCTGTCATGGCAGATCGTACCATTCTCTTGCCTTTCCCAGAATTACCAGTTATTTTTTATCCCTACATGAACCGCTGGCACTACAGACTAGGCTACCTGAGATTTTGATGCTGTGTAATTATTTTTATAGCATCTATGCAGAGTAGTTCTCCTTACCTGGCTTCCTGCCTGCCATAGATACTTCCATTCCTACGCAGTAACCTCTCTGCTAAGCCCAACAATTTAAATCACACCCAAGCACGTTGAGCATCAGGAAGCTAAAAGCCCACGCTCAAAGGACTGAGGCTGATGAAGTGACATACGCCTGCATGGTTCTGGCAGGTCCCTGCCGAAGTCCCTTGCTGTAGAAGAAAGCAAAGGCACTTGATCCTGAATGTCACCATGTCTGGGGCAAAAGTCAATCTGAGCATCAAGCATCTGAGAAGGGTGGTTCACTAAATTCCGCTCAAATCTTTCTGATGCTAAGGGGATGCAGGACAAAAGTAAATCCCAACACACTTTTAGACAATTATGCACCTAAGGAAAGAACCCAAATCTCTTTGAAACACTTGCAAACAGCGAAACGGCCCACCAGGTGTCATTTTCTCTTGTAATGGCCATTAGAGTGCCCTAACATCAATTAACTACGTCTAGCTTGCCTAAAGCCCAGTCTGTAAATAAGCAGCTCGCTTTCAGTTGGTCTATGCAGATGACAAGAAGAAAATGGACTAACACCGTGCTGTTTGGCTGTTGGTGTCCATCCTGTGCCCTGGACATCAGCTTTCAGCATCTCACTGGATCACGGCCCCCTGCCCACCCCCTGAGCCTCAGGCAGAGCTGGTGAGGAGGAGAGGCAAGAGTCCAGGCAGCATGACTGTGGTTCTCCTTCCCCTCCATGGCTCACGGTGGGTACCGCCCAGCCAAGCTGCCACAGCTGGAACAGGGACCTCCACTGTGGCCCACCCCAGTATCACTGAGCAACCAAGAGAATTAGTGCTCTTCTGCTCATCGGCAGGGAGAAAGGCAGGCCACGTCCTGGCCTCAGTGATTAGAGTATCACCTCACTAGGGCATCTGTATTTAACGGTCAGACTCAGAAAACACTTAAAGGTGGGCTAGGGAATGACCAAAAAATGCTTCACATGTGCATTTCAGGTATGAGTCTGCTAAATTTGCAGTTTCCCTGCCCATGGACAGTAAGGGGCTGCTTCTGGTGGTGCATATTCCCTGTGCCACTGTTCTCTGCAGACAAACACGGGGAAGACAACGTGTCCTGTGAAATAGCAGCCAATCTCCCCCCATCCTGGATGCCTGCGAGTCTACTTACAAAGCCGGCCAGAATCCAGAGGAAAACTATTGGTGTCACCCAACACTAACTGGATCCATTTAAATGAGTAAAAAGAAAGTTACAGCCACAAGAATGAATTATCAAGGGTAATGGCAGGGCAGATCTCGATTTTGAATCATTTGTATTTCTGTCCTTCAGCTCAAACAATCCCCCCTTGAAAGCTCAAGACAGTACCAAGGACATAGGATAGCAGAGAAGAGAACTCAGCTGAACATGCACAAGCCTGGACTGTCTTCAGAGACCAGCATTAATAATAAATAAACTGCTCAATATACAAATTGCTTCTGTGTATGTTTCAAAAACATTAGTAAGACATAACTGACATACACATCATGTTCTCATATTCACACAGGACAAGCAAACTGCGGACATGTGCTTACACAGACACTCAGATATGCATTCACCTGGAAACAAACCACATCTTCTACAACCTGGGACCAACTCATCTGTTCTCTACAAATCCAAGGTACCTTCACTTATCTAACATGAAAGAGCCTTCAGAAACCCACATCTGCCACAGAAGCATTTCCTCCCCTCAACTTTTAAGACACTTATATTAGCGTAAACCTAAGTCCTGTACTACAAGTCAAGATAAAGGTCCCGTATCTTCAAACACTTTGGGGACTTCCTCCACCACAGAAAGGGACACTAGTAACTTCATAATAAATCAAATGACAATTGATGCTTACCTTCAAAAGTCATGAGTTAACAAGAAAAAGTTGCTTTAGGTGAAAAGGCCTGAGCAGATTTCCTCAGAATGGGGATAAAAAGTATAATATAATACAGATCCTTCTCTATTAGAAATATAATTTATTCCACATGGCAGGTGGAAGTATGCTGCTTTGTTTTGTTGCTTGAGAAGTTGGATACTAATTTTTATATCCCTTTGTTTTAAAGGCATGATCTCTTGGGACTACAAGTTCAAACATGCAGAGTACTGATAGGGAAAGAGATCAGTAGTAAACAAAGTCTGAAAAACAATGTGAATACATTTTCCGGAATTCGGAAGGTAATGCCAAAGAACCCCAACATCAGCAAAGCTCATGAGAAAAGATGATCTCAAATTTCCTGTGCAATAAGGCCTGGGTTCCTGGTGAAATTAAGAGCTTGCAGTTCAAAGTGAATAATACCTTTCCACCAGTCACAGGAAAAATTATCTTGAAGAAAAGATGGGAACACTACCTCTGGGAGCCAAGAGGTGATTTCTATTCTGGATGGACTGTTATTTTTGAAGTGACTTTTCTGAATTGCACAGGAGTTTGAAACGCTAGCCTGGCCCATGGGAAGGAAGCTAGTGCTGAAGCAAGGCAGGCAACAGCACAGTCAGCTACTGTGCTCTACTTTCTCAAAAGTTCTGTGCTACTTAGTGAAGGGGATGTGAGGCATGAGTGGGACAAAGACACGACTGCTCAGAGAGAGAAATGCACCCTCCCTCCCATGGTGGGAGGTTTTTGACTTCTACAGTCTCCTGACAGGATGAATACAGGCCCAGCCTTGCACCTCCCCTGCTGCTCTCTGCTCTGCCCAATACTAGAGCTTCCTAAAAATATTTAAATCTACAGAATAGAAAATAGCTCGGCACTAGTTCCACAGAAAAGGATCTGGGATTGCAGCTCACCAGAACTCCACGACCTTGCACTGCAAGAAGCAAACACTACACAAGCATGGCCTGTGAGACAGACGAGCCCTCAGCCGGAGGGAGGCCTTCACTGGCCAGTTGGGACACCTCAGGGAAGATGTACTAATCAGCTGGAGAAACTTCAAGGAATAACAAAAGCTACCGGAGGTCTAGAAAACATGACCTAGGAGGAAAGACTAAGTCATATTAGGAAAAGTTTTCTAATGCTTCAGCTAATTAATCACCAAACTGTCCAACCCAGAAAGGTTGCAGAACATCTGCTATTGCAGATAGCAATAGCATAGACATCTACCAGGAGTGACACCACTACAGCTTGTCCTCCCTAGGGCCCAACAGATAGATAGGTATTTCTAGCTCTACACTCTCTTTATTGCCAAGCATTAGGTTATTATGGGAAAACTAATGCTAACAGAAGCCATTTCACCGGTACTACTAGTATCCACCTCTGAAAAGGTGAACTTTTAAAAGTGCTAAAATAATTACTCTGTAACAAAAACTTCCTGAAAGTTTACCAGCCCAAGATACAAGCGTCAACCACAAGTTATGTGGGTGATTGGTGATACCAGAAAACAATAAATACATCTTCTTCAAGCTATTATTGCAAGCAAATAATATTTTGCACAGCAAGACACTCTGATGAGGTTCCTTACAGCCCTACTCCCTGTGCAGGACTCCCAGTTATACATCCATGTGCTCGGACCCTGGGTGGCGTAAAGCTTCAAAGCTTCCTCAAAATGATATCAAATTATCATTCAAGTGGATATGCTAATGCTGCAGATTTAACAGACCATCCCAAATTAAGAGAATTACAGCTTTACGCTAGCAGAAACATGAGCCCTTTCAGAGCACATACAGTTTGATGTCAACTACTGAAGTCAGAACAATTTGACACAAGGCAAAGAAAATCATAGAATAGAATCACAGAATTATTAGAGTTGGAAAACCTAATTCTATTGCCCCAATGAAAACATCTAAGCGTAGTTTCAGGATGGAAAGCTAATGATTTAGGAACTGTTTTAAGAATGCAAATGTTATTATGCCCAGAGGAATGACAGCTATTCACTAAAATTATACTTCTTTATCTACCTTTCCTTAAAAAGCTGTTCAAATGCCCTTAAGCTGCCTGGAAGAGAACATTGTATGCACACAGTTATTCTCAGCAGCTTATGTCATACGTTCAGATATTTGGCATTTATTCATGTACCCCCCTATATGCAGTGCCTGCCAAAAAAACAGTGCCAGGGCCACACTAGAGACATCTACGGTGGCTGGCCAGTCTCAAGAGACATTTGCTATTGCACCAAACACTGTCATTTCAGTGTTGTGAACGTACTGAACAGAGGAGCAACACAAAGAATTAAAACGTGATGCCGTAATTTTCTAAACCAATACAAGCACTGTTGGCTCCCTCTGGTGCTAAATATAATGTAGTGTTGCAAACTAAACCACCAGAGAAGGCAGTGATAATCTAATTATTTTGTACAGCAGGAGACAGACATTTTAGTAGGAAGTAGGAAGCTCTTACATGAAGAAAACACGACACAGGCTTTTAAGAGCCACAGACAGAGCCACGCACACAGACACACCATGTTTTCACTTCCTAAAAGTACAGTCTCCATCCCATTTTTAAGAGCAGATTTAAAAAACAATTTCAGGCTCTTATTCATTAAATTGACAGCGATTTCTAGAGTAGTTTCAGAAAGCAAATCTAAACCACTTTTAAACCAATCCATTTATGCTATTCTGTTCATTTATACTTAAATCATGCATCTGTTATGCCAAACAGACTACACAAATCAGAACAATTTTAACTAATGTGTTACTAAATCTGCTGTTCAACACAGTGTATAGAATAAAAATCAAGCCACTTGCTCAATTCACAGAGACAAGTGGCTGCTTGGCTTTTTAAAAATTCCACTCACAGCTCTGAATTTCCAGTGATACACCCAACTATCCAAGCACCGTGATTTATATTGTAACCGTTATTCCTTGAATCATTTTTAATGACTATTTGAAACTTGCTTGCAGTTATTAAAAACTGTTAGATTTCCTATGCAAAACAAGGAAGTTTAATAATCTCATCCGGAAGGGCTGGATTTTTGTTGTCTTTTTGTCATTGTGGGGAAAGAAGGGAAGTGGGCAACAGGTTTTCTTCTCCTCTTCCTCCCCCTCCTCCCATTTTTAACAAGATAAAGGTAGAACAGCTTAAGGATTCTGCCCTGTACAGAGCCTACATTCCCTGCCTATCAACAGACCTAAGCACTGCTACACAGAACAAGGTGTATGGTGCAAAGTGATGTTAATCTCGTCCACTTTCTGGATTAGCGGGGCCCCAGCACAATTCCCTACAAAAGAGGGTTTAACCTTAAAAAAAGAATTGGATAATGACCCTGTGGTTGAATGGGAGGCTGGTGACAAGGGCGAGAGAAGGGTGTTCCCAGTGTGCTTCCTTTCATCCAGCTGTTCCTTGTACCTGTCAGCAGCAAACAGCTGGGTCTGGAGCACCACGCTGGCTGCTATCCCGCTCCCCCGCTTCCAGGCAGCACAAGGTTAACCCATCTCTCCCAAGATCCTGTCTCCCCAGAATTAAACAAGTCTTGCTGCCATCCTCCAGTTCCTGTTTGTAAATTCAGCATGAGACATGACTTAAGGAGACAAGATTTTTCAAAACTCGGTGAGAATCACAGGTATGAAGGGCCTTCTCCGTGAACACCTACTACCAAATCTCAGTCAACAAAGGAATAACTCCTCCACTTCCTGAAAGCATAGATTCTGTAATGTAACTACCACTATCTTGAAAGCAAATTAACCACACTTGAGCAAACTTTATATATTTATTTTAGGTCACTATTCCCAAGTAAATGGAAATTCTGAAAAGAAGTTTAAAGTATGCTCAGGAGACCAGGAGCTGGAAGACTTAGGTTTACTCCCAAACATCATCTTGACTCTCAATGCAAGGCCTCATGTCCCCATGTGTTAAATATGGATAATACCAAATCCTTGCTTACTGCCACTTAGTGCCTTGCAGAAAGGTATTATTCACACTTCAGTCTTATTAATACCCCATCTAGTAAGAAATATAACATTACTGCTTTATAATGGAGTCCTAGGATTGTGGACAGCAGCTATGTAGCATTTTCTCTATGAGTGAAACCAGAAATATTTTTATTTGTCATAGAAAACATTACCCCTTCTTCAAAAAAAAAAAAAAAAAACCAAAAAAAACACCCCCAAAAAAACCCCAAAATTTTTTTTTTTTTTTTTTTTTTTTTTTTGCAAAGGCTAAG